GGAAAATTTGTTAAAGGATCTCTCGGGAAATGTTTTTATGATATTGTGATTGGGTCCATTTCTGCTGTCCATTTAAAATAGGTGGTTGGATAAGATGAAGTATATAATTTTTATACAATAGAAAAAATATTGAAAGGTGGTTGGATAAGATGAAGTATATAACTTTTATAGAGTAGGAAAAATATAGAAAGCTTGTCCCTCTCTGTGCCGAGGGAGAGGGAGAAATTGTTAAGGAATGGATCCTCCACTGTTTATAAAATGATGTAAAGGCATTGTAAGGAAGGTGAGGAGTTACCATTCATATGACTTTACAAAGTCAAGCTTTGAGACCAGCTCCTGCAACTCACCCAATATCACTGAGAGATCAGTATTCTCCTTGAACTTGGCTAACACTGTGTGTCTATGCTCTCCTTCCATCTTTCTCTCAACGACTCTTTCTTCATGCATGGACTAACATTCAACAATCCTTCACATATAAATAAGAGAGAGAGAGAGAGCGAGAGAGAGAGAGAGAGAGAGTTGCAATCATTTTGTATTGAAAACGTGATAGGGAGACATGATAACGCGTAACGTAACAGCCACTATGGTGTTTCACTTCTCTCTCATTAAAATTTCATAGGTAGGACCATTCGAGGTTATTGATTGTGCCGTTTCGTGCTCTCGCTGTAGCATATTATACACTTATTCCTTTAGGAATAGAGGATCTTTTGGATCTACTTTACAATCAGGGATTAGTATTTTAGAGCAAGGGAAATATCATTCAATGGGTCAACACTTAAAAAAATCATTGGGGTCTAAAAAATCTCAATTACCGTGAGATGGTTTATTTTTTAAGTTTCATTTCACTTGGATTCCTCCTACAAAAGATCTTTATGGACATTCAAATTTTTCAATTTAGGTTTGAGAACCCTGAACAAGCAGAAGCATTTTAGCAATTTGATCCTTGAGAACAAGCAGAGCACTCTTGTTAGGTGGTTGAGGCCCCTATGGTGGGTCAAATTATTGAAATGACTTTGCATGTTCAAGTTTCCTTCCATGAACATAGGCAACTTGAGCGTCTTTAGAGATATTTTCCGCGGTGAATTTTGTAAGGGGTTTTGGCACCTAACATGATATTTCTTCAAAAAAGATTTTGAGTTTTCAAATGTTTCGGTCCAAAATTTGAATGCTCTCTTTCTTATTTCAACACACACACACTCTCTCTCTTTTGTGAATTTATATAATTTTATTTTTTTTGGAGGGAACTCGTTAGGGCGAATGGGTTGCACCCAAAAATATGGGGTCCAAAAAATGTCCTTAGAAGGGACTTAAGTTTAGAAAAATGTTTAAGAAAAGTATACAATGAGACCATTTACTTTTGGTATAGGCAGACGGGCATAATTAAACTGGGCTGTTGGATGTGAAACTTCAAAGAAATTTTCTCAAATCTTGTTAAGCACACAAGCTGTCAAATTTTACATCGGATAGTTATAAGTAATTGTGACATTTTTGTATTAATTATAAATGGTCTCATTATATATAATCATATTAATTTAGGACAACTTTACTTGTAGAAGTGAGTTTGCACGTATTATATATTGGACGATGTAGATTTGATACGTTTTTTAAAATCTTGTCAAAAAATAATAATTCCTTTAAGCTACACTAATCAAATAAAGTGAACAAGGTTGATTATTACTTTACTATAAAAACTTTGTTCTTTTAGTCTAAGGATTAAATGCATAATATGTTCCTTTAGGAATATATTATGCAGCGGCTGCAAAAAGGGCTACGGGGAGAAAGAGATGTGGAAAAGTTTTGGATGGTTGCAGTTGCGGTGGTGGGCAAAACGGCGGACCAACGGCGTTTTCAAAATGAGGTGCACTAGATAATGGCTTGCGGGACCACTATCTAGAAGTTATAAGGAAAGTATTAGGACCACGTTAAAGTGGAATTGGTGAGCCACATAGCTGTCTCTCTCTGGGTCTCAGGACCACAAAGTAAGATTCGATTTAGAGGTGTAAACGGGTTGGGTTGTCAACATGGACATGGACATGGTCCTGACCCATTTTAGATGTGTAGGGTTGGTTGACATCGACCTGTCCTGACCCCATTGGCCTGACCTGACCCAACCTGAACAAGGGTTGGGTCCGGGTGTATACATGGAATATATATATATATATATATATATATATATATATATATAAATCATATTTTAGATGTTTTATTATATATAAGGAATTGTATATAACGAGATCAGTTACCTCTGGTATAAGGAGGTCACAACTACTCAACCATCTAATGTAAAATTTGATAGCCTGGATATGTCACAAAGGGCAAGAACATATTTTTTGAACTTTGAGCTTGGTTGATAGAATATTTTAGCCACCCAGTTTCACATGCAATGAATAATATTAATTGTGACCAATTTGTACCAAAGGTCTATAGTCTCATTGTATATTTTTGCTATATATAAATAGTATAATTCTATATGTAATATATCTGGTCAGGCTGGGTTTAGTTGACCCGAACCTAAACCAAACCAAACCACCCAATTTAGTATGAGATGGATCCGGAACCCAGACCTAGACCCGGACCAGGATCTATTAGGTCCAAGTCTAAACCCAGACCAAAATAAAGTCTCGACCCATTAGATCAACTGGTCGAACAACCTGATCGCCACTCCTTAATTCATGAACCACCACCTGGAGAGCTGGCAATGGTCTGGTTTTCCGTTCCTAAAAATATAGGGCATGAGCCACAAACTGTGGCCCGAAGGCCAAACTAGGGCCAGTGCTAGCCCAGTTTGTCACTGCCTAACCCTTTTTTTTTATTATTGTTTTTCTCTTAATTTGTTTTGCACTCATTTTTGCCGGGTTTGCACTGCCCAGGCCAGGCCCGTTACCATCCTTAGAGCCCCTTGCACCGTCACCACCTAGTAGTGACAAAATTTTTGGCAAGTACAATAGGGAAAGAGAGAGGCATGCAGGCGGGGTGCTTAATTGGAAATTCATGGACACATATTAACCACAACATGCAAAATCTGCCTTAATTATAGGGGCGGCAATAGACCCGGGACCCGACGTTTGGACCCTCTGGTCCAGGTAAAGGTCCAAGAATGGGACTTGGCGGTTCGGATTTGGGTCTAAATATTGAACCCGAACACTAATTGGATCCGGGTCCATGTGGATCTGACCCGAATAGTATTATTATCTAATTTAACATAACATTTAAATATATTTAAATACCTATATATTTTTATTTTTGGGTCGAGTCCAATGGGGTCCGAGTCCAGGTTCAATAACTTTGGGACTGGTTAGGTTCGGGTCCGGCCGGACCCTATCCGTTGCCACTCCTACTTTTTTATCAACAATGCAAAGGCACACGTACCCTTGCATTTGAGGGAAAGCTTTTTACATGACTCACATTTAAAATAGGGAAAATTACCAAAAAAAAAAACTCCAAGTCTACACTTTATATTTAACTTACCCCCAACTTAAGTTTTCTCTCATTTTTTTTTCCAAATTACACTTTCTATGCAAATATCCCTCCAAGTCAAAAAGTTAGTTTTTTTATACAAAAATACCCTTATCATACACAAAAAAACATTTTGACCGGATATTAACATTGACTGACTGACCCCAATAGCACATTGTCGGACCGCACCAGTAAACTGTCGTACCAATGTCATTTCCGCCAGACCAAACTTGTCAATAGCCAGACCCCATGTTGACAAGAAAACACCTACCAGACCGAACTTCCCAATTGCCGCACCGTACATGTAAACTACCGGAGCGGCTCTATGATCGCCAAACCCCTTTTTGATCTAGTAACTTCTATTGTCAAACCGCCATAGTAACCTACTGGACCGAAGCTGCACACTACCGGACTGCCCATAGAATATGTCGAATCGCCCATGGAACATGAGGAGAGAGAGGCGTGGGTAGGGTCAAAAGAAAAGGGAGGGTTGTTTACTCTTTTTTTTACTTTATTTTTGGCTGGGGGTATTTGCATAAAAAGTTTGTTTGGGGAAAAAAGTGAGAGATAAACTTAAGTTGGGGGTAATTGCATAGAAACTATAGTCTTGGGGGTTCTTTATAATTTTCCCTTTAAAGCACTTGTACACATTATTCTTTATTCTTAGCCGTCTAATCTAAATGAGTAGTGGGAATAGCTTTAATCGTAAATATCACATCCGACAATGTATATGCTTTAGTATTTAATTGATTATTTTGACACAATTCGCATAGTAAAAGCACCCAACAAAAATATAAAAAATATAACTGATAGGATAAAATAACCAAAATACTTTTGAAAGTTAAAGGTATATTTTGATTGTTTTTATTAGAAATGTTTTTTTAATTTTGGAAAACTTTTCAATGTTCCCCTTACAACATAGAAGTTCTATCCGCCCCTTTATCCAACTGATCATTTTTTAATGGAGGGGCTAAGATCGCCCCAATCACAATGTCATGTCTGTACACTATTTTGTTTTTAATTTTTTTTTGATAAACTATTTTGATACCAAATTTTGGACGCCCATTCCTTTATTAAACTCGCACTAACGAAAAATATATAAAAAATATTTTCAATAAAATAAAATGACCAAAAATACCCCTAAAAAGTTCAAAATGTATTTTGGTCATTATTTTTTAAAAAGTATTGGTAATATTTTTTATAGGTGCGCCCCAATGAGAAGATGCCACGTAGTACATTTCATATTTAGAAAAAGTGTATTAAAAAAACTAAAAATAAAATACTTTGAAACGTCAAATCTAAGATCAAACGGTGAGTAGTTCTCTTGATAAAAAATAGATGGCTGGATGGTAGGGAGAGGATAAAACTTCTATGTTGTAGGGGGAACATAGAAAAGTTTCCTTTTTATTTTTACTAAAGGGCCCTTATAAAAGTGGGAATGCCCCAAACTTCATGTCAAAATAATACATAAAATAAAAAATAAAAAATAAATATGATGTGTACTCTAAGTAATCTGATCATAATCAAACTTTCAAGCACTTAATGCATCCCAGCTGTCCATATAGAATTTACATTTGTGTGATATGTGGGTGCCGCTCTATAAAAAAGTTTTTCCCTAAGTAAAGAGTTAGCTATTTCATGCCTAATTAGCTTACTAGCCTTTTCTCACTCTATAGCTCTCCCTCCCTTTTTCTTTCTATTCTACTCACCAAAATTTTCAGAGCATCAGGTTCGGCCCGCTCTTTCCCTCCTTTTTATTGGGGCAAGTCTTTACGCTGGGCTTTAGGTGTGGCAACGGATCGGGTCAGATCCGGACAGATTTGCATGTGACTTAGA